TTTAAATATTATTTAAATATTGTAAAATTAACCAGAATCATATCCAAATTTTTAACGTGCAACGTTGGGAAAAGTAATTTTTATTCGAAAAAAAGAATATATTTGCCATTATATATCGTTATATATCACTTTTTTTATTGTTTTCACCGAATATATATAGTTTCTTTGTACTCAGATTTTTCATATTATATCACATCGATCATTTCGTTGCTATGTCGAGTAAAATTACGTCGATTTCGAGACACTATGAATAAAGATTTACTGACACCACAAGGATATGAAAAAATTAAAGATAAAATTACGAAATTATTTATAAAGAATGCCGATTGTGCGGAAAACAACCCATCGCGGCCTTCAAAAGTTCTCACACAATACATAATCACTTGCGAAGTATTTTATACAGATTGTCACGATTCTTTCTCCGATACTAACTCTCGGTAGACAAGCCCTCAGTAACTACTATATCTAAAATCTTTACATCTAATAACTACTAATTGTGGACAAAGTTAATAAGATTTTCTCCCTGCTTCTTTCCGAATGTTGCGAAATCGCGTTACGTTCGCATGGTAATAAATTATACAGTCTTACATGCATTTCTTGTTATTTTCTGACCGCTTTCGAATTTTACACATAACTCACCACGTGACAACGTTACGTCGTTACGTGTGATGTGTTTCAATTTTAATCTTTCGATAAACGCGGAATTTGTTAATTATATTATTAATGGGACGCAATATTTGATTTGATAACAGTTCCTTCCTCTTTTCCTTGATCAATAATTGTTTAAATAAAAAAGAAATTATGATACTTGATACTCTAGTAATGGCTGTACTGTATAATGGCCCAAATCATGAAAAGATTTATACCTCGTGGTATAAATCTGATTAAAAATCAGCGGATTGGCGGTAAAAGATTTCTCTTACGCACAATTTCGTGTATTTTCGAAATTCATTAAATATGCTTTCTGAAAACTCGGAAACTAACTTACCGAACATTCCAACTATAAAATGGACGGTATCAATAGATTACTGTAATTGTGTAAGAAGTGATCGTCTAGTGAGAGTGAGTGTCGACGTGGGACTTCGCTTCATTGAGATCATCCAACGTGTATCGCGAACTGGCCAGACACAACGAAATTTGCTGTGAGTATCCAAACATATATATAAGTAATGCTCACATATTTGAAGTATTATTATCATATTTGAAGTTTAATATTATTGACGATGATCAAATGCATATCGTATAATGTCAGATACACAAAGACTCAAATTAGTCTTTTACTATAGCAAGATTCATCCATCCGCGATCTTGATTCGTGCGTAATCGACGCGAAAACGCGAGTGATGTTTCTCTTTCTTTCGCAATAGATCGATTTTTTCGCTTGTTTTCTCTCTATTACTCTTTTTATCATGCACGTTCGCATATTGACGCGAAAAGTGTTTCCAGCAACTTACATATGCTTCACATTTCTTATAAGCTCACGGCGCGAAAAAAACGAGAGAGAAGAGCATAAAGAGTGTGTGTATTTGCGTGCTTTTATATTCGTCCACTTCACAAATTCTAACAACGATAGAGACGGCAATGATGTTGACGTTGCAACACGACGACGAGAACGACGTTACGTGAAGCAAGTACCGCGCGCGACGAGAGAGAACAGTAACGAATAATGCAACAGCGAAAACTGATCTTCGGCCTCTCGCTTGTCGGAACGTGTGTACCCTATTTCCGTCTCCATTCATGTCAAACTGTCTATCTCGCTCTAGCCTATATTTACCACCCCCGGCAGAACACGCTATTCCTAATGGACCGACTACTTCTTCGACCAGCTGCGGCGGCGGTGGCGGCAATGTAATCACGTTTACACACGGCAATATTTATTGCTGCGCGAGATACGAATCGGCACCATACGCCGTGCCAACGTTTACGTATCTGTCTTTCTCTCTTGTCGTACCGCGCCACGACCGACGACGTGCGGCGGTGTCGTCTTGTCATCGTATCCGGATGAGGAGGCGAGGTCCAGGCCTCTCCTGTTTTCTTATCGGTTGATTCTCTCTCGCTCCCTTTATCTCCATTGTCTCGTTCTCTCTCTAGTTTCATCTCATCGTTCACCGAATTGCCTTTCGCGGAACGTACGCGATTTCGCGACGCGAGTTACGGGCGTGTGAGCGCGCCATACGGCTTCGTTCGCACATCTTCGATGTCGTCCTCGTCGTCTTCGTCGTCATTTCTCGCGTTTCTTTCTCGGCTACTCTCTCACTCCATCTATCTATAGCGTAGCTACAATTGAAATTTTTCGCGTGTTTGCAGGCAGATGAGATCGGTAGTAGTAGTCGGTTGGTGAATAGTGCGATTTAGAAACGTTAATCGATCGACGTAGAGAGCGGCAAATCGCACCTAGCAACTGAAAAGGAGGAACAGGAAGAAGAGCGATCACGTGAGTGTGAACTTGCGCGAACGTGAAGAAAGGTTTACCCAGAAAGC